GCAGACATGGCCATATGTCTGATAGGAAATCCTAGGTCTCAAAGAGGCTGCCTGGAAGGAACAATGGTATATGGCAAGGGGTGGGGGGCGGGGGTTGTCTCATCTTAGAAGTTAATCTCAGGACTGCATCTGAAATCTGTTCTCTCTTGAACCTCTGTGGCTAAAGTTTGATTCCTGGAAGATGCAGGGGTCATTTCTTGTAAGAGGTCAAGGACCCAGGCTGGTTCTTGTTTTGTGTTCTATCCTGGGACTTGTGTGAGTGAGTGGTCACTACCCCGTGTCACACACATAGACACAAGGATGGGTGAGGAGCAAATATGCAGAGTACACATTGCCATGTTGGTCCTTTGAACAGGCCTGAGCTACCTGGACACAGTGGAGAAGGGGCCCTGAGTCTGAGCAGAGGTGTGGGAGCTGGGCCTAGGGGAGCAAGGGGCTCTGACTGTCCTCTCTCTGTCCACATCCCCAAGTCTGCAAAACCTGCATTGTGCGATACCTGGAAACCAACAAATACTGCCCCATGTGTGATGTACAGGTCCATAAAACCCGACCGCTGCTGAGCATCAGGTGGGCCCAGCACTGCTTCCCCTGCCTATGGCTGTCCCTTGGGACACCTCCCACTGTCCCCTCACCCCTCCTTGCCTTCTCAGCTAGGGCAACGGGTTAGGAGAAGCAAGGTATGGGCCCAGGTCCTTCCCTTCCCTCTGGGTGGCATCCAGCTTTTCATAGGCTAAGAAATACTAGAGGGACAATGGCCAGATCAGAGACCCCTGTACTTGGGCATGGGGTTTGTGGAAAGGGTGGGAAGAGAGTCCCTGTCTGGGGAAATGGGGATGAAGAATGGGGTGAGAATGGCTCCTGAAAGACCCTTGTATATTTTTTCCTAGATCTGACAAAACCCTCCAAGATATTGTCTACAAATTGGTCCCTGGGCTTTTTAAAGGTATTTGTGCACCCATCTTCCTCCTGCCCACCATGCCTTCTCCACCCTGTTGCCTTCTCTCACCCTGCTCCCTTCTTCCAGATGAGATGAAACGGCGGCGGGATTTTTATGCAGCGTACCCCCTGACAGAGGGTGAGCGAGCTCCCAGGCCTGGGGCTGTGTGAGTGGAGACGCTGCCCCAGCTGAGGGCTGGATGTGCTGCCCCTCTCACCTCCCATCCCCTATCAGACCACCCCCTTCGAGACTGTATCCCAGAGGGTGGCTGGGCTCACCCCGATGAACTACGGGACCCCTGAGTCCTTGGAGGGGCTTGGCCAACCACTCTGAACTGTCTCCTTTTGTAGTCCCCAATGGCTCCAACGAGGACCGAGGTGAAGTCCTGGAGCAGGAGAAGGGGGCTCTGAGTGATGATGAGATCGTCAGCCTTTCCATCGAGTTCTACGAAGGAGTCAGGCAAGTTTGACACAAGCCTGGCCTTTTGGGCCTCCTAGGTTGGGTCACCCACTTCTCCACTTTGGTCCCACCCCCTGGGAACCTTCAGGACATGTGCATTAGGGGATCCTCACTGCTCCAGGGTCTCTAGCTTCCTTCTCTTTCCTTTAGGGACCGGGAAGAGAAGAAGGGACTACTGGAGAATGGGGATGGGGACAAGGAGAAGGTGAGTGCTAAGACCTGCTCAGGCATGGTCCATGGGCTAGGAGAGTGGCCTAGAGTAGAACTCCTCACAGGGACCTCTTCCTCAACAGACAGGGGTACGTTTCCTGCGATGTCCAGCAGCCATGACTGTCATGCACCTCGCCAAGTTCCTCCGGAACAAGATGGATGTGCCCAGCAAGTACAAGGTCAGTGCTAGGGCCTACTCACACAGTGTCTGTGGGGATGTGTTCAGTTCAGAGGCTGGCTTGGTTGTGTAACTGAGCCCCAGGAGAAAAGTGGCTGAACCCAAGATTGGGGCAAACAGTCTATGACTGTTGAAGTAAGTGTACAGAGGGGCTTGGGACCAGGACTGTGTGTGCTGATACCCATACGTGCACACTGAGAACTGGGGATTAAGCTGGCTGTGGGAAGGCTGGAGGAGTTCTAGGACATGGTTTGTCAAACTCACATGTGACACTCCCCTGCTGAGCTTGTTAGAATGCAGGTTCTAATGCAGTTGATGCAGCTACTGATGCTGAAGGTCCCTGGACCACTCAGACCACACTTTGTTTAGTGAGGCGGGAGGACAGGGGATCCTAAGTCTGTTGTTAAGAGGCAACATTAGTTGCCTTGTGTCTTCCAGTGAGGTCAGGATCTCTGGGGTTGAGATGAGGCCTTGGCGGTTTTTAAATTATTTGGGTGGTTTCCCTATGCAGCAAGAGCGATAGCCAGTGTCCAAGGGGGCCCTGGTAGCTGTGTGGACGGCTGGGGCCAGGATCCCTTGGTTGAGTGGGAAGGGACATGGGGTTAAGACAACTCTGGCAGGGAATTCACGTCCATGGAGGCAATCTGGAGTAATGAGGACCGCCTGCAATCCACCCAAGCTCATGACGTCCTCTGTCCCCCCGTCCGCCCCAGGTGGAGGTCCTGTATGAGGACGAGCCTCTGAAGGAGTACTACACCCTTATGGACATCGCCTACATCTACCCCTGGCGGCGGGTGAGCCTGTGGGGTGGGGAGGGGGTGCAGGGAGGAGACCCCTGCAGAGCCTGGTATTGGTCTGTGCCACCCTTCTCTATCACAGTCCTCCCCTTGTTCCAGGAGCCTGGTGGGTCCAGGTTGGCCTGCCTCACCAGGTGAGCCTTTGGGCAGTCTCTTGCCGATGACCTCCCACACAAGGAGAAAAGGCTCTTCTGGCCCAACACTGTGCCCAAATTTGGGGTCAGAAATAGGTGTGGCTGGAGAGGAGTGACTGTGCTGTCTGCATTCTGTCTCCTTCCCTCCTTTTTCTTTCCAAACCTGTCTTATACTCCTGCCTCTGGATCTTGTTGCCCTTCTTCTCTAAGGCCCATGCCTTCCCTTTGCTCTTGTCTGGACCCTATGGGCAGGGGTGGGTGGCTCCTTGGTTAGCTTTCTCCTGACACCCTCCCTTTCCCCCCCTCTTCTTCTCCCTCTTGCCGCAGAACGGCCCTCTCCCCCTCAAGTACCGTGTCCAGCCAGCCTGCAAGCGGCTCGCCCTGCCCACAGTGCCAACTCCCTCCGAGGGCACCAACACCAGTGGGGCATCTGAATGTGAGTCGGCCAGCGACAAGGCTCCCAGTCCTGCCACCCTGCCGGCCACCTCCTCCTCCTTGCCTAGCCCTGCCACCCCCTCCCATGGCTCTCCCAGCTCCCATGGTCCCCCAGCCACCCACCCCACCTCCCCCACTCCCCCTTCTGCAGCCAGTGGGGCTACCACAGCTGCCAATGGGGGTACCTCGAACTGCCTGCAGGCACCATCATCCACCAGCAGGGGGCGCAAGATGACTGTCAATGGAGCTCCTGTGCCCCCCTTAACTTGAGGAAAGCCACCCTTTCCCTCCTTTGCAGCCACCTCTCCACACCCTCCACTTTTTTCTGGACCCCTTTTTTCCACCTCTTCTACTTTCCCCAGCTCCTCCCATCTTCAGGGTGGGAGGTGGGTTTTATAAATAAATCTATATATATATATGTACATAGGAAAAAACAAATATACATACTTATTTTCTATGGACCAACCAGATTAATTTAAATGCCACAGGAAACAAACTGTATGTGTGTGTGTATGTGTAGGGGAGGGGTTTAATTTGGGGGGGGTCTTGTAAATTGCTCTGTCCTTTTTAGGGGTATGTGCAGGTAGTCTCCAGAAGCCATTGGAGGCTCGGTTAAGCTCTACCCTGCCCTCCATCGCCTTCCCAAGGCAGGTGGGGTGTTGGGGTCCACAGTCCCCAAAGCTTTAGCTGGCTGCTGTCCTGCCCCTGTCCATTTACCCCCATTGTCGAATGTGCAGAGAATTGCTAAGACAGTGCCTTTTATCAGTGCAGTTTGTTCCCTAGTTCTGAGGAGCAAGTGGCAATGGAGAAGGCGTCTTCCTTGCCTCCTCATGCAGCGGAAACTTTGTGCAAAGAATAGATTGTTCTGCGCTTTCGTTTCTTCCTTTTGTTTTCCTGTGTGTGGCCTTTGCATCATTTATCTTGTGGAAGAGAAGATTCAGGCCCCGGAAGGCCCCAGCCCTCAAAGTCCACGTGTGGCTTCGGCATTGTAAAGGCTTCTTCACTCCCTCCTGTCCTACCTTGGCCAACAAACCCTCCAGAGGAAGACCTTGGGGCGAAACCTCGCTCGGGGCCTAGAGAGGAGGGATGGGAGCAGCGTTCATCTCAGACAAGCACAGACCCCAGGTTTTGCCAAAGGCCAAAAGCTCTTCAGCTCCCCCCACCCATCTCCAGCTGAGGCTGACAGAGGCAACTAGAAGCACAAGAAAATAGAAAGTGGAAGCTCTGACCCCAACTCTACCCGAGAGGTCAGTGGACATCCCTTAGGGGCAGATCCCTGCCTACCTGGTTTTCCTCAGATGTACATAGACCTGGGAGATGAGGAGGCCAGATTGTCACAACCTGTATGGAGGTTGGGAATCCCCTCCCCGTTTGCACCTTGTCCTGTGTCTGAACCCTCCTGCCCTGACGCATTTGTATCTCTTGGCTTTGTAATAAATGCTGCATACTCTGGAGGTGGAGTTCTTTGGGGTAGAGGGAAGGGGAAAGTGTGGGTGGCTTCCCCTAGCCTCACCAGGCCCTTGTCTCTGGGGACAGCCTGCCGTAGAATAGATCTGGGCTGCCGCCCCTGTGGCCCACCAGATGCCCTCAGCCCTCACCCAGGTCAGTATCTAGAACAGGAAACCACACGTGTGCCTCATCAGTGACCACAGGAACACCGCTCTCGGTGGCTGGCATGCTTGTTTAATAGCGTATTCTCCACCAGCAGCTGCTGAACCAGGGGCCCACTTCTGGCTGTCGTGACTAGAGACCACAAGCCAGCTGCAGTCCCTGGATGGTCCCCTTGGACTCAGCACTCAGTTTCCTTTCCCACAAAAGGGGTGTCTTATCAGAAGCCTGAAAGCACGGCCCCCTGGGGCTGGGCAGCGGCCACCCCTCAGAGCGCAGAGCCCACCTCTGCCTTCTGCACCTGCTCACTGTTGTGGGTGCCATCACAGTATGGGGGCTTCTGGGTGGCCTTGCAGGTACAGAGGGCCACTGTGCGGGTCTCCTGGGCCTTGAACTTGAGTGGGGATAGGCCAGTGCGCTGGAAGAAGTGAGAGCCATCACAGAAAGGCTGGAAAGGAAAAAAGAAATCATGTCTCCGCTCCCCCGGCCCAGGGTAG